TCCCCTTTACAGCTAATTGACTGAAATCTTTATAGGATTGGCAGCACCAGGCTTCCATAGACGTTTTTCATTTTGAGGGAGCACTATTATAAGCAATGCTGTTTTCAAAGCTCTGAGCTTCTTGATGATTATTTATCTTTACTTTAAAGGACTCTAAATTGGATTCTGAGTGACAATGCAGACTGTTATAGCAGTGATAAAGTAATGAACATGTATGTACTCTTTAAAGATTCTTCTGACTTTTTCTAAAAGGTTAGATTTTGAGTAAATCATAATAAAGCTCAAAGAACTAGAGACAAAAATTAGTTAACAAACTCAATATAATTTGCTGGAAGCATTCCTGTTTTCCCAGTTCTCTGAACAGTACCATACATCCAGCCATCATCAATTGGTTGCACATTGATGATATAATCACCATCCCTGAAGGAAACTTCATCTTCATCTTGAGCACTGTAGTCATACATAGCTCTGTACGTTCTCTGTTGAAGGAAAGAAAACAAGGCTGTAAAGTCTCATGCCTAAATATAGCTAGGTTCCTTCTCTTCTTTGCACAAAGAGAATGAAAAGAGCAGGAAAAAGAACAGAGGGAGCAAGGCAGAGAGACAAGTAACAAGTTACCTGTTCAAAAGAAACAGTACCTCCTTCACCTTGTCAAATATATAATTAATACAGTCCCTTTTTCTGAGTATCAAAATAATTATTTTTGTGAACCTACATTGTCCAAAGTCCTCATACAAACAGATTTCAAGTAATTCACTGCCTCTTGAAATACTCTGTATAAAACTGTTGTTTCATATATTCACTAGTAACCGTCCATTACATCCAGCCATGGCTAGCTGTGCTTCTGCTCCCTATTTGCATGATTCCCAAATAGCTTCTCCCATGTCTTCACTACAGAAAAGAAATACAGTCTTCATCCAGGTCATTAACTTTGCCATCTCACTGAATGCTCTTCATTTCATTAGGATTTTACCACAAATTAAGAATTAGGAATATATTATTATCGAATTAAATATATAAACAAGATTTCAAAAAGTCTGCAAAAATCATTTTTATGAATACTGTTTTCCTTACCCTGTCTCTTGACAGAAGTCAAGAGCAGTTCATGCATCACTGATAATATTCGATTTCCCAACCAGCAATTTTTGATATGTCACCATACTAGTTGAATTTTTCTGTTACAACGATTTAAAGAGAAAAAAAGGTAAAAACAGTCAAATGTTTGAGTTAATGACTAGTACTACTGTCTGGACCTTTTTTTAAGAGACAGCAACTTTGTTCTGCTTCTCAGCTGAAGAAACCAACTCTGAATTACTTTACTTTAGGTTTTTGAGGGTTTTTAATGACGTAATTTTCAGAAAAGCTTGAGATTCCTCCACACACAGCAAGTAGGCCATTTGTTACATGTTGGAAATGTAGGATCACCTAATTCAAACACTATAGGGCAACTCATTATAATTGTTCCCATGCTAGAAATACACTTTTGGTCTTAATTCTGCCTTTATCATTGATACAGCAGATTAAACACTACAGAGAAATCAACTCCTGGTTAAACACCGGCGACCACTACCTTTCTTGACAATGCCACTTCAAACTGTATTTGAATCTTGCTCTGTAAACTCGTCCGCTCCCATGCCTTGTAATATTGCTGTCCTGCAGGCTGTGACCAAAAGCATTTTTTCAACCAGTGTTATGTGGTTTGTAACTAGGTTGGGAAGGTTCACTTCAAATCACTGAAAATTCTTTAAAGATTCACAAACTTGAAAACTAGTGGTCTGAAGATCCCAAGGAATGGTCTCTGCCTTCGAGAATCTTACTTTTTTCAAACTATTTCAACCAATTGCTCCATTGAGCCTTGTAACTAACTCAAAGTAACAAAAAGAACCCTAAAAAACCAAAGAAAGACACAAAGACACAAAAAACCCCCTCAAAATAAAAAAAACCCACACCAAAATCCAATTTATATGCTTTTACAACTAGCTCAGCAGCAGTTAGTCCTTTAAAAAAAATTCTTTCCAAAAAGTTCTATTTAAGAAAAACTGTAGCAAATCAGTATCTGGCATAAAGCAAAAAACAGCTTTTACTCTAAACCATGCTTATATATCTCCCTTAAATGGGCAAAGGCTGGGGGAGGAGATTAAATGTTTTCTTAAACTAACATATATTAGAAAAAAAGACCAGACAAGTTTTTGTTCACCCAAAAAGATGCTCACTCATCCTTCGAACATCACAGCATAGGACATACTACTGCTGTCTCCTTTAAGACAGCTTGAGGACATCACTGTGGTGGCACAGTTGTGAAGACAAGCTGGTAATTTCAAACTTTAAAAAAAAATTATTAGGGTCCTAAATGCTGCCGAGAAACCTGATTTATGGCCTTAACACCTGATTAGGTGCTAAATGGCTGTCAGGAGAAATCTCCATAATAATCCTGTTAGCATTTAATGCCTAATTATCACTTCAGAGTGTAGCCTGGACTATATAATTGAGAATTACAATGCTTAAAGGACTCAAAGCAGGGATTTTTAAAATGCATTTTAGTGAATTATTCCTCTGTCAGTAGTGAGTTTAGCCAGTACTGCAAGCACAAGAGGCTATAAGAAAAAGTTGGGGTTTCGTAAAACAGTCAACTATTCCCTTATAGCCAGCCTTCTCAAAAGCGTAACTTGCCGCTACTGCTTAGACAGAACAGTAAGTCTTGTGCATATGAAGTACCAGAGCCCAGCTCTCATATTCCCAGCTCCCCAACGAGATGTGAGCTAACAGATGCATATTTCCACTTCATCTGCCAGTTTATACTTCTTATTCTATGGATTGCTCCTTGCAAGGAAAAGTACCTGTTGGACCATTCTTCACATAGAGTAGCTGTCAAGGAAAGTTAATTTGCAACCTAGGTTTTGTTTTTCTACCATTTTTAGTTATCTAAAGACATGAAAACACCCTCTGTTATCTTCCAAATGGACAAGCAGCCCTCAGGGGTCTCTTATATTCTGTACTCTAAGCAACAATTTAATTCATCCCATTATGCAGAACTGCTCATAGGAAGTGAGCAAAAGTTAAGCATCAGAAAATAACACAATTTACCTAGGAAAAAAATCTATCCAGAGACTATGTTAGGATCATGCTCAAAATTAAATAAACCAGAATTTCAAAATTTAGAACTTAGAAAATATATATTTCTCAGTATAGGAAATTGGTGGACGTGATTATAAAATGAACCTAAGTCCTTTGTGGACCCTGATTTGATAACAGGGTAACAAACCAGCTGAAAGGAGTAGGTTTTACTACAGCTTCTAACTCTTCAATCATCCCTACCCTAATATACCCATGGGATCTTAATTACTCTCACCCTAGAGATGTCCTGACCAAACTCAGGCACTTATGAGTGACTTTGTCACCTTTGTTGCTTTTAGTTAAGTCTCAAAAACTGCTTGTGCTTTAAGATCAGTATTCAGGTTGGGATTTCTTCCCTTCAGTCTCTTCCTCTCTTTCTTCCATTACTTCCTTCTTCCTTCTGCGTGGCTTAGCCAGACAAGGCTGCATCTCTGGCAGTGCTGCTCCAAGCCCACAACTGAACAGGCAGCTGAAAGTGATGTACCTAACATTGCTTAAGTTTGTCAGATCTAGGGCATGTCCACACTGCATTTGAAAAGCACTCCAAGGCTGCCTTCCATCTTCAGCCTGTGCACATTGCTACACTTAAACACATTCCTAACCAGAGGTTTACCCTTGTGCCATCCCAATAGCTGACTGTAACATGCCCAGCACACCTGGATAAACTGCACAAACTAAAGATAGGTTTCTGATGTGAAGGTGGAAAGACAAGGGAACATATACCAGGTTTCTAGCTGCATCTGAGATGCCTCTTTTGGAGCCAAATCATCACCCTGGGAGGTGGTAAGATCACGCTCTGTCTTCTTCACCAGGCTGGCAAGTTAGCAGTCAGCACCAGGCCAGCAGTCCTTGATTTCCTTCCTCTGGAAATGTTAGGGTTTTATTGTCTTCAAGGAAATCCACTCAGTTTTTAACAGCAACAAGACCCATTCAAACTATTTGAATGTTTGCTGCTTTCTTTTTTTCTCCATCATAAACAGCTATTATCACTTAAAAGAATATCAAATGACAACAGTTTCATAAAAGGGCTAAGAAAGCCTATTGAATGCTTTAACTTTACTCCCTTCCTTTTCCTATTACCTTTGCATTCCCATTCGGTTCAGAAGGAGAGATAAATGGTAATTCTCAAGACAATTGAAATGATATTGTTTCAACAGGTAGCTCACCAGGTAAGTCACTGGGAGACAGATACTGGGGAAATAGTAGCTCTCTACCCACCCAGACAGCTGCAAAGGCTGCTAAGTGCATTTCAAGATTTGCAGGCATCTCCATTCTTCATCTGCTGGATTTGAAGGCTGCTTTGCTCCCCACTAACTAGCAAATCCACTGGCAAAGCCCAAGCTTCCAGGCCTCCCACTTTTTGGACTCCAGCCTCTTTGAGAAGCAGCCAGCTCCCCAAGTGCTTTGCAATATCCTTTGAAATTAATGGTTGATTCCAATATCAGCTGCCTCACAGCTGTCACGCGGGCGCCCAAAAAGTTTCCCAGGTTACTGGCTCCACCAAAGATGCAGGTATCTGGATCCCAGATTTCCCAGCAAGTTGGTCTCCTCAGCCTCCAAGTAGCCGAGAAACTGGCAAACCTGAAAGCACCCAAACTTCCCAGAACGTCATGATCTTTACCATATAGAATGTCATGGAGTTTCAGTCTTAAAGAAAAGCACACATTTTAGCTAATCTTGAAAAAAAGGTTTTTTCAGCTCAGTAAGCTCTACATTTGGTTCATAACTTAAAACTTCATCTCTAAAAAAGGTGACAGAGGCAGTAAATATACATCCATTCAAAATAGTTTAAAACTAAAAATTCCAAGTCAATATTTTTAAGGTAAAAGGTGACTGGATCTGAAATATGAAATCTCTAGGCAGTTATGTGATTAAAAAAAATATGATAAACATTAAAACTTAACTTTGTACATATAAACAGTTCAAAAAGGAAAACGAAGTTCAATTTCCTAAAAACCCCACCTGAATACCCATTCAGATCACCTTCCATGACCAGCTACTTCTAAAATGAAATACTCACTCCAGGTTTATGTTCCCATCCACCACAATTAAGAACTTCATGATTGTGTCCATGATTTCCTGATAAAGCTTTTTCTCAGTCACCCAGCAGTGTAACTCAATTTAGATGAGGCACAAGTGGGTGCATGACTGTTCTGCTGAATTAGAACGGGCACAACCAATATGGAGTCTGAACTAGCTTTATACAAGCAGAGATGAGTAATATGGATAGGCACAAAGCCTGTCAGTACTAAAGCAGCAAGCAAAAAAAAATGTAAACGTGTTTAAACCAGCAGAGTGATCTTAAGAGATCAGTGGTTTTCATCCAGTGCTAGGAGTCTGAATTAATCACAGAGCATAGCATCAAAGCTCAGCCTGTGAAATACTGTCCAAGCATTTACTATTATTTTAGCAGGCAGAAGATTAAGTTATTTTTCCTGCCTTATGGAGATCAAAAATTATTTTTTTAAATGCATTCTGACATAAAAGTTCTTGTCACTGCCCTCAGTCACAATCTTTTTATACACAAGAGCTATTACTTCCATTTAGGACTAGGATAGTCAAATAGTTCAACGATACAACTCAAGGAGACCAATTAACTCATATTTAAGAGATTTCATAACCGCTGGTGATGTTGGTTATGAAAGAAAATCATTCTTTAAATCCAATACTCACCAGACCTGCTGAATGAGGCTGTGAATGCATGGATCTCATGGATGACATACTGGTCTGGTGCATGTATCCATATCCTTGGGACTGGCTTTGCTGATATGCCCCAGGGAGAACAGGGGCTGTGTGTTAAAGAAATACAGACATATTATTGCAAGGTTTTTTTTAAAGTCCTTATCTAGCATTTTGTAGAACTTTATTATTATTTGCATTGTTAATAACAATTCCTCATTATAAAACAGTTCAGAATTATTTCCATATATGACTTAAGTCTTTCCATAGGTTGAATCACTCATAAATGTAGGCAAAGCTATAGCAACATATCCACAAACACTATCAAGGTTAGTTGGAAGGAAAAGCTGAATGTAAAAGTCTGACTATAAAATGGCATATAAAAGCTTGAGACACCACTAACTCAATTTTGATACTGCCATAGATGACCTACCAAATATAAAGTTCCATAAACTGCTGTTTTATAAGGAAAGAAAAAAGTAAGCCCACAGTTTCTTAGTTTATCCCGATTCCATTAACATTCTTAGCCAAACACAGAGAGGTCAATGGTTACTGCAATCTTTCCAAATCCAACTCTTTAAGTATCTTCCTCTTACCACACAATTGTTCCATCTCTTTCACACATAATGTATTCACATTATTTTAACAATTATTTTAATGTTTCTGTAGGCTAATCATTAATGCATTGGCTTCTATTGTACCAAGAGCTGCTGAAATAGTTAATACAATCAACATCGACTCCCTACCTCTATTTCTTATGGGGAAGGAATTTGTAAACTTTCCCTATCTGTTCAACCATTCTATGTCAGCAACAGACCAAACAAGAACGTGTTAAAAACATGTTTGATCAAAAATCTGTAAGACATAAGCACAGCACAGGCGACTATCCACTATTTTCCCAGCAAGACCAAGCAGCATTTTTAAAGCAAAATTAAGAGACTGAAATACCTTTCAAAATCTAATGATTAAAAGTTTAGCCACCACTATCTGTGCATGTTTTGCAAGCCTCTCATGCACTCTGAGAATGAAGATTTCTGACTTGTATGGAGCTTATTAGCACATCTCCCACTATTATTTACCAGAATTTTACTAGTTCAAGTGGAAATGCATTTAGCTTTCTGAAAACAAAATACATTTCTATTGATACTTCTTCAAGTGGTCCATTTCAAAGAATCACAGAATATTAGGAGTTGGAAGGGACCTCAAAAGATCATCCAGTCCAACCCCCCTGCCAGAGCAGGATCACCTAGACCAGGTCACACAGGAACGCATCCAGGCAGGTTTTGAATGTCTCCAGAGAAGGAGACTCCACAACCTCTCTGGGCAGCCTGGTCCAGCGCTCTGTCACCCTTACAATAAAAAAGTTTTTCCTTATGTTCAGATTGAACCTCCTATGCTTCAGCTTGCTCCCATTGCCCCTTATCCTATCATTGGCTATCACTGAGAAGAGCCTGGTTCCTTCCTCCTGACACTTTACATATTTATAAACATTAATGGAGTCACCCCTCAGTCTCCTCTTCTCCAAGCTAAAGAGACCCAGCTCCCTCAGCTGCTCCTCAGAAGGGAGATGCTCCACTCCCTCAATCATCTTTGAGGCTCTGTGCTGGACTCTTTCAAGCAATTCCCTGTCCTTCTTGAACTGAGGGGCCCAGAACTGAACACAATATTCCAGATGCAGTCTCACCAGCACAAAGTAGAGGGGAAGGAGAACCTCTCTCGACCTACTAACCTCACCCCTTCTGATACACCCGAGGATGCCATTGGCCTTCTTGGCTGCAAGGGCACATTGCTGGCTCATGGTCATCCTGCTGTCCACCAACACCCCCAGGTCCTTTTCTGCCTGGAAGCTTTCCAGCCACTCGTCCCCAAGCCTGTAGCACTGCATGGGGTTATTGCGACCAAAGTGCAGGACCCGGCACTTGGCCTTGTTGAAGCTCATACAATTAGCCTCAGCTCATTGATTCAGCCTAACCAAGTCCCTCTGCAAATATGTATTCTGTCTAACTCTCTGGCAAAAGCCATACTTTGCTTACAGAAGATGGAGCCTGTACAGCCCATGAGTCAAAAAACTTCAATCATGGAGTCATTCAGCAGTCCAATACATTCTGAGATACATATCATGGGCTTGCTAGAAAGTGAAGGATAACTTCTGGAGCAGACCTCACAGAGATTCAAAAGCAGCAAAACTAATATAGGATCTAATGGGGTTCACAATGTATGGAAGGACACAGGACTCATAAAATGAAAAGATGCAGGAGAAGCAGAAAACAACCATAAAAAAATATATATACAAAAAAGTAGTATTCATATTTGCAGTAGTAACACTATGTTCTTCTCTGCTTCTTGAATGATCAGGACAATAAATGCATGTGAAAAAGGATTATCAAGAAAATGTTTGCTGAACTATTTCTGAAACGTCAACCTTGTGCATTCAGCAAGGCGTTTTACCTTCCCTAAATAACAATATAATTGATTTAAACATTTTTTTTTCTTCTAAAACATCTCTTTATTTTAGTTAGCATACTAAAATGCACGAAGTATGTAATTACAATTTGGGATGTTATTTTTTGCTTTAATATACTTGTAAAGGCAAGTAACACTGTATATTTAACTAGGGTTTTTCTGATTTAGAAAACATGTTTCAAACTACTGTAATGAATAGATTGCTTTGTTAAGTGAGTGAAATTAAAGCAATACACAGTCAGATGCAATACTGGAACATGATGAATAATGGATGGTTTACAAGTGCCAAGTTCATTCTAATGACATATGAGTACAAAGACATTTTTAAAGCAGTTTAATCATCAGAGAATTGCTGCTCGTTAACATGTTCACAGGATTATCATGCATTAAGTGAATAGTCCTAAGTAGTTCAACAAATAATGTATGTTTCAATGTTGTAACAAGCTATTTCCACATGACCAGATGTAGCCCTTCATAAGAAAATAGAGAAAAACATAAATTAATCAAAGGTTCTGTGAGCAAGCCAGAATGAATATATATATTGCCTAATTCATCACCAGCATAAACACAAGTCAGTTCATAGAAGCCAATAGGGTCTCACCACCTCATACCAGTAGTAAATGGGATATGTGAGTTGAAAACTGAGCACAGCTGGAACTTTTTAACTTAACAGAAAGTAGTATCTTAAGGCACCACTGGCCGCTGATCAGTCAGCACCCTGCCTGCTCTGCAGTGACAAAGGGCCGGCAACTTTGCCCCCTTTGTCCCTGCCCCCTATCTGGCAGGGACAGATACCCAGAGAGTCCCTTTCTTTTTCCTGAGAGAAGTGGAGCTGCTGGTAGAGACCTTTTACTTTTGATTCCTTCTCCCCACAGCAGATCTTTCTCAACAACTACCCATCGTCCCTTGTCAGTGTAAGGCAGCAAGCCCACTGATGGCCAGCTGATTATAGCCTTCACATCAACAGCCTTATTTTGGGGAGGATAACCCATACCTCCTGCCTCTGCGGGAACTGTGAGCAGCCAGTCTGAGATGTGCTTTCCTACTTTGCAATCAGTTTCTCGCAAGCTGAGAGAATTTTGTCAAACTGCCTCAGAGAAGCTGTTTGCTAGTTTACCTGCAACAGTGGAAACTGTAAGCCCAGGAAATAAAGCATTTCTTTGAAAGCGGGAGAAATTCTGGAAAGTTTTAGAAGCTGAAGTATTATAAAAATATTCTATACCAACAAAAAGAAGGAATTTGTAGGATTAGCTTTGCTAATTCTCTTCCAGTCCTTTATTGAGGTATCATGTATATGAGCATATATGTCAGCACACATCAGTGTTGAAAACACTCAACTGAATAAGTCCACCTTTTTTTTTTCCATTAAAGGAATACTGTAGTAGGGCTGCAAAAAAGGATCAGTAGTATTTAACAATTTTTTACAAAAAATACTTCAGAAATCTCCAAATGGTTGTCTGTTCGGGAGATAATTTGAGAACTGCATAGATAAGTAGATTAGTGAAGAGACAACAGATCTGAGATGTGTTTCTGGTGACATACAGATAGTTCAATGTGAGATTAAACTATGCAGAGAAAGAGTTTGACTTTTCTTCATCATCATCACCCATAGCTAACTGCAATCTTTTGGCTCAAACCAAAATATAAAGTTCTATAACATCTATTGACTGCAGCAGCAGCAAAAGCAATGGTTTTAGTTAACCTAAGGGAACAATAAAACACAGTGGTGGAACATGAAATTCATTTAGCTGAAGTCAGATTTATTGGTAAGGGAGCTGAGGGCTGACCATGGCTCTGAGAAGTACAGGTGGATGCTTTTTTCTTGTCACATTAAGACTTTACCAAATGCATTCCGCTGTATTGAAACTTACTTTTTTTTCTTGGCCCACTTACCAAGCAAGCCAGATATTCATCTAAAATTATCTACTTGAAGAAATTTATCATATTTCTCTTACTGTATCTTTATAGGCTTCCCCAGAGAAAAGAGAGAGAAAAATGAATTAACATGATAAAATAAAAGAGAGAGAAGCCTTCAAGAAAGAGCAGCTGAAAGATTGATAGTGAGTATCAACTTGCTGCAGCAGACAATGGGGTCTGCAGAGTGTGCACCCATTGGGACTTGCTTTGAGAAGGACTAGGAAAGAAAAACGTCAGACTGTGGAAACAGGAAAGGAATAATTAAGAGAGCATTATATAACTACAACGTAAAATAAAGTTTATGCTGAAAAGAAAAATCATTTAAAAGGCAAGTTCCAAGCTATATTTTATCAAAACCATAGTTATCTCTCTCTCATTCTTTTGTACAGCAGAACCTCAATAATCCACAGTAAAGCAATGTATCCCTACTGTTAACTACTGCACTTTTTCCATTTACTGCAATACATGCCATTTACTGGACCAGATGTAAAAGAACAATCACTACATTTACTCTTACAGACATCATGCAGTTTTAAGCATTTATTTAACTTCATATTTTGATGCTATTTCAATTCATGGTTTCACTACTAAGATTTCAGAGAACTCACAAAGAATATTGCAACATTTTGTAAAAACAACAACATGAGAGAGCAGGAAGTAAAAGGACGATCCTTTTGTGCTTAATTCTAGTGTTTGTAAGACACTAGAAATCAAGTTGTACATTTTCTGAGGAGCACAAAAGTCGCAATAAAGCCAGAATACAGCATCATCACACATCTTTGTGTTACCGACATTATGACCAGCTCCCTCAAAACAGATGAAGCTGCTTATGGGAACCATGTTGCTCCATATATATTGAAGTCCTTCCCCTGTTTTGGCTTGCTGCTGCTTTATTTTCCACAAGTTGCAACATCTAGAGTGGCCCTCGTGGCTTTACTTTAGAAAGCCTCTTTCATAACTTCCAGTTCCTTCTTTCTTTTGCCCTTCCCTTAGAAATTGCTCAGCTATGTCTTGTGCAGCAGAAAATATTGTCAAAGTGGTGTTGAAATCACATGGGGGGAAGTGTAGGTCTAGAATACACTTCTGGGGTACTCGCATACACACCACTTGTCGTTCATGTGGATGGGTCACTGCTCAAACTGCAAAACACCCTTATCTAATCTACAAGAATACATAGACAAGGAAGTACAGCCTTAGGGTAAACTGTTATTGCTGCATTGAAGCTGGTGGATAATAACAAATGATACTTTTTTAAAGTCACCTCCAGAAAGTGTTACAAAGGTAACTTTAGTTACAATCTCTGGCTCAATACTTTTCGTCTTTTCTATCCAGATGGTTTTTTTCCCCAGATGTTGACTGCTTCTCCCCATCATTAAAATATATGAAGTGTTTTGGGTTAAAATTTTTATTACCTATGATATCCTTGAAAAATTGTATATTGTCATCACTTACTAAGACTGGTATATTTGAATACTATCAACACTTTTCACCCTTTACCTGAATCTAACTGAATTCAATGTTACTAATAACAAAATTACTTCCACAGCAATACACCTGACATTCCTCAGGCTCCGATTCAGCCACCCTTATGCGCTCAAGTAGTACTTCCCCTCCAAAAGTTGTCTCATCAAAATTTGCAGCAAGGGTTTTGACAAAAAGGAACTAATCAACCTGACTAAGGACAGGAGAAATGAATGCCAAACAGATCAGGGGGAGGGAGGGAAGAGTAGACTTTATAAAAAAGAACATTTATTTATATATGTATTTAGAGTTATATTTTAAATATATTTTTATATAAAATATGTAAAAGTACTGTATGTAAGTAAGAGGGATACAGTTTCAAAGAGCTTTCTTTCAAAGAAAGAAAACAAAGTGAAAACCAAGACACAACAGAGTACAAGAGAACCCAAAGGAAAAAAGGTCATGATAGAACAATTAAGGTTGGCAGAGAGAATTTGTTCCTCTTTTAAAATCAGGGCCAAACTTGAAGTTAAATTAGGTTGCTCAGGGCCTTGTCCAGTCAGCTTTTTGTTTGGGATGGAGATTTCACTATTCCACTTTGGGCAACCACACACCCTCTAATTCCAATTCCCATGCTGTATATATTCCTGTATAAAGCTCCTGGGATTAGGCCAGCCCAGCATTCTGTCAACCACACAAGTATCTTGAAAAACAGTTCTAAGAAGAGATTTGAAGAAGGCTAATGCATTAATTCTACAGAAGCTTACATACTGCCCAAGCACGAACAGCAGGATAAATGGAACACAATTGTGGTCAACCAAGAACTTAATGAGTTTTAAAGAAGGCCTGTATCACAGGCTATAAGAAGTAAGAATCTGGACACTTTGGCAGCAAGTAAGACAGAATAGGTATGATAAGGATAGGCTGTGAAAGGCATGAAAATAGAAGAAAATAAGGTTGACTGCTATGACAGATGAGCTTTTAGCAGGCTTTTAAAGATGATGTGCTAAACATCATTCTCTGCTAAAATTAAGAGTGTTGGAAGAACTCAGCAGGAGTCATGAGGAGATAAATCTCAAAAAAGTTGTAGGCAGTCCATTTCCACTGCATGTATGAGGCTGATGCTCTATGAATTGGTTGAGGCAATCTAACACTCCTACCACCCTTTCTCTTCCTCTCTGCTGGGTTGTTTTTCTGCTGGCTTGGTGAGCTAAGTCACCTCAGCGAAGGATCAGACTAGTGACAGATGCAGTGCAAGGAAGAAGGCAGGAACAGGCATCCATGGCCACTGACAGCAGAAGGCAGCAAACTGCTAGATCAGCTCAGCTGTCCCAAGGTATGCCCCACCAAGCACCTCACTTCTGCACAAGCTCCGAGTTCAAACCACAAAAGAGCTGAGCCTCTTACAGGTGTTTCCCTCCAGATGTCCCATCACCCAGATCCAAACAATGCATCCCATGTAATGCAGAATGCTCCTGTGTGCTAACATGTAGTATACACTGCTCAATGACTTGTCTCCCAGGTCTCTACACTATTTGCAAAAAGTCATAGTGAAAGGTTAGAGAAGATTAATCCTAATGCAGGCAACAGGAGCTGCTTACTTGACAGGAAAAACAGATATCAGAGACCTCAAAGACTTTAGTGAGTATGCAAGGATTACCCAGAGATAGAGAGGATGAAGAGATTGAGATGAGGCACATAAATCTGCAGCATTCCCCTAGTACAGAGCAAGGAGATGGTCTCTAAAGGACAAGACAAAAAAGCAGTCATAGGAATATAGAGAACAACCAGAAGAGTTCAGAGATGTTAGATACAGATTACATTAGGAAAATCTCAGAACTGATTTTTCAGTACAGAACTGATTCCCATGAAGCTTCTGTCCCAAATTGCAATTAAAAGAAAAAACCTCAAAGGTTCACGCAAACAGAAATTTTAAAACCCAAGCAAAGAAAAAAATTTTATGCCAATCATTTCAAAAGACCTAGGTTTAATTTTGATGATTTTCAAAGTTTATTTTAATTTATGTGACTCTTCAAAACTAAGCGTATTTCAACATACAGCTGGATTCTTTGTTTTAAAAATGTCAACCTCACAACTGAATAAAATAGTTTTCTTTGGCATTGAGACATTTATCACAAGTGACCCTTTCCTATAAATAAGTTTGGGATTAAACTGTTATCTTCTGATAAACAATATTGAAAAATTCCCAGCCATCTTTAAAGTTAAATTGCTTAGCATTAACTTTTCAAATAAGCTAGAAAATGGAAGCACGTACTCTAAACTGGTTATAACTGTTATCTATTATAGAGTTTTATTATTTTCTAGTCAGAAAAAGTAGCACAGCACAGTCAAATGTACTGGGAATAGGTCAGATTGCACAAGCATATAAAAAGCACTAACCTGAAGATTGCAGATGGTGAGACCTGATACAGAACATTGCTGTTTTTAGAACGGTAGAGAACAACACAGTAAGGCATCTTGGCATTTTTTCTTGTAAAAGTAACTTTCCCTTCATTTCTTTTCCTTTTTTTCCCTTCTTTCTTTATCTCGCCCTTTACTCGTCAGTTAGGCTGCTTTCATGGATGTCTGCGCTACCAGGCTTGTTGCTCTCAGTGTGCTGTCAGAAGCAGCAGTTTGTCTGCACTATCCATTACAGGAGTCAGTATTAGTCAGTAAAGTGGAGTATCAAATCCAGATATAATTAGGTTGCTGAAATAACAACCTGAAAGTATGGCCTAATTCAGGCAGGGTGCTAATAAATATCTGCCATGCTCACTGACCTCATTAGAATTGAAGCTCTGAACTACTTGGTGTCAGTGGCAAATTCAGAACATTACAAGCTTAGGAAGTTTCCATAACCTACATTATAAAGATATAAAAAATAAACCATGCAATCTTCAAATCCTTAAAAAAAAAAGAGGGAAAGGGGTCAACAAAATTATTTATTTCATACTTTGTTTTAAAATAACTAACAATTATTCATGATGCAAAAAAATCAAGATTACTTACAATGGATAAAATGAAGTTTTAAACTAAACTTCATTAGTATCACGATTAGACTAACAGACTCTTTTAAGCACCATTATTTTATAGCACCATTTATCAGCTAGTAATAATTAAGCCTAAATATATGTATCCACCATGTAAACTGAAGTAGATTATTGTGGGAAATGCAGAATCACACAATAACTCTTAACAGTAATTTCATTGTAAGAAATCAAAATTTGAATGAAATTACAACAGAAGATCACACATAGCTGTTTGGCATATGTCAAAGAAAACTAAGAAATTTTGAAAGGAATGACAAAAATAGCATCTAACGTCTACATGAAACTCTGTATTTCATTTGTCATTAGTTTTCTTATTATAGGGGAACTATCTCATATTTTGGTTACTCTAGAGAGCAAGCATATCCACAAAAATTTGACCTATTCTAAAATTCCTGATTTGAATAAACAGCCAATAATATGAATACTGGTTACACTAGTCTTTGCTGTAGAAGTCTGTCATACATCCAATAGCAGATGAAGTGGGAATTTTGGAAGTCCAAGCTACTCTAGTGGAAGAACAGTCGGCAAACTGCCTATCTAGTAAATCATGGCCTATGCATCTGGCCATTCATGCTGCCTTCTTAATTCTTTATATTTTGAGAAACAACAGATCAGTCAAAACCATAATATTCTTTTTCAGGGCAATCTATTTCTTGAGGTCCATTCTGGCCTCTCTGAAGGGTCTAAATCTCTACTGCTAATAAGAAAAGTCTCTCATTGACATTTTTCCTTTAAATAAAAGTAGTACAGCTTTCATCCCCCTTTAGAGCAACTGCACAAAAGGGCTACATTCAGGGAAAGCCCAGGCCAGCACAGTCTCCAGAAGTAATGTCTGCAAGCAAGTATTAAATATCAGAGTCCAGAGAAAAATAAAAGAAACCAAGGATGTCCTGTTTTCTACTGTCAATGTCAAAAGAAAGGAGGCAATCAACTGAACATCCATACTCTTCACCAAAAAAGGATAATACAGGGAAGACTTTTGCCAAGACATGCTTGTGGATACTCCTTAGAGCATCTTTTCTACTGAGAAACAGGGGATGGATGATACTGAGTCACATTTTAAAAGCTTTTGTGATCGTTAACACATTATCGTAGTTGTAAAGCATCACAGAGTTGTAAAGTGTTAAATATTATGCTCTGCCAACAGGAGAGGAGAAGAAGCCAAATCCCAAACAACCCACAGAGTTCCTGCCTGTGACTGTGACTGGCTGTGGAGCACTGAGGTCGGGAGTGGCAGCCTCAGAGCCTGCAAAGAGCATGAGCTAGTCCTGTCCTGGCAGAGCAGACAATTATGATGAACAGAAAATGCCATCAGCTTCCCCAAACTGCTTTTGGAAAGGCCATTTAGAACTGTGAGACCATACACACTCAGAAGAACAGTTTTGATAAATATAATTCCCTAGCAGCCCCTTCAAACATAAGCTTTTTCACACAAAAGCTAAAGGTATTTGCTATAAAAAATAGAGTGGTAAATGGTCTTCCAGGAAACCCAATAACTAAAATGTTTCAAAAGGTTACCAACCTTTAAAGGAAAGAAGAATAGGAAGAGGCTCTTTGTAGTTTTTACTCATACAGACATGTTTTTGTGTTTTTTGCAAAAAATCAGGATAAAATGGCAGTGAACACAACACAAAATTACAATTTAGAATGAATGACGATTAGTGTTTTCATCCAGCTTCTATGAACAACTAGGATTGTTGTCAGGATTTTAAAAACTGTACAAATTCTGTACCTGACATTTAGAATTTTATAGGCAGTTACAACTATCTACTTCACTTACAATTTAATTCACTTAAAATACAAACCATTTATCCCCATTCCAGGTCCCTCTGACCAGTTCTTACTACAGAACTGTAAAAATAAAACTACCTCACTTATTTGGGTTCTAAACCTAGAACTGGGGTCCTATTTGTCCTCAGTTTTGAATCCTAAAATGTCACTTTAGGGTTATGATGATGAACACAGAATATTCTAAACCAGTTAAATGTAGTGCAACTAAGTTTTTTTGAATATTTAGTTACAAAATCTTTTCTGGATGTTTAATTCACTCATTTTCCTCTCAAAGGCAAATTTAATACAATACTCTATTGCAACCAAAGGACAAAATAATTACTCACTGGGATGAGAGGAGAACGGATCATGTATTTGGAGCACAGTTTATACATATGTCATGGGAGTAGGGAGGGGCTTGGCTGGTTGTTTTTGCTTTGGCAGATCCATTGACCTATCTGGATTATGAAAATGATTTTTTTTTTTTTTACTATCGTTTCTAAAAGACAAGGTCTTTAACTCATCTTTACAACTTCCAATGCGTATATTTCCACATATATGTTCTACATTATATTGTGTGTTAAGAACTGTTCTAGCAGTTCAAATAGAAAAGGAGGTCCCTCGTTGTCCTGGTTTTGCTAGGACTGAATCGTAGAATTCCCTTTTAGTGTTTCAGCAATGTTCCCTTTAAATGAACACAAGTTAAAATTAGAGCTTCGGCTGGGATGTTGTTTTCCTTATGAAGCCGATAACATTTTTTAATTTTTTTCATTCTTGCTGGAAGATATTTACATTTTTCAAGGTTTTGCCTGCACCTGTGATTATAGTTTCTTTTGGGTTTTCAGATTTTTTTCTTCTCTCTGCAAAAGAGCAAGGTGGGGAAAGCAAGAGCACAGGACTCTCCAGGACAGGTGGCCCAGGTATGATCCAAGCTGACCAATAAAGATGTGCTTTATCCCATAAACATCACACTCACTATAAATTTGGGAGCTTGCAGGGAATAAACCCTTCAGCTTTCCCTCCTTCTTCGGCTCCTTTGATCTCTTCCCTTCTACTTTGTGATGGTGGCCCATATCAGTTCCTGTGGCTTACCCCTCCCATCGCATTGTCACTGGCATACAACCAGTGGCTACTGTTTGTAAGTTGAGTATAACTTTGATTCCTATATTACTGTTGTTCCTATTCTTGTTACAGTTAATTTGCATTATTATTATTATTTAAGTTTGGGTTGTTTTAAATTATTAAATAGTCTTTATTTCAACTGATGAGTTCTTTTATTCTCTCAGTTCTCTCCCCCATCCCACCAGAGACTGGGGGAAGCTGTGTGAGCAAACTGCACGGTGTTTAGCTGCTTGCCAGTTAAACCACAACACTCATTCATTTTATATGGATTATAACAGGAATCACTATTAATATTATTTTTTAATTAGCCTTCAGTGGTAGTCCAAAGAGTTTAGCCTATGTATCTATTAGTAGCTACTGTATCATAATACTTACACAAATCCCCATTTCTCCTACTGGTATTGTAACTGAGACATAACCAAATCACAGGGCATCCTACTCCGGAGTTTTGAATATGAAGAACAGTCAGGATTTGGTGTCACTGACAAACAAACCTTATTGGCAGCTGACTTTTTTGGGTGACATTCCACCTAAGCTGAAGCAAGTCCCAGCTGAGAAAACAGAGTACAATATGCCTTTCCTTTCCTCACACATTGCACTGCATTCTTTTATTTACGAAGGCATAAAATGTCTGAAAAACAGCCTGAAGCATCCTTGGTCCTGGTAGAGACCTACCACAGGAAGCTGGAATTCCTTCCCAAATTGTGAATGGACAGGTTTTTGCTCTAGGCCTCCTCACAAATAGGAAGAGTTAGTAAAATGAAGGTTATGTTAACATGTTACATTACCCACACACCTTCAATTACAATTTGAACTCACATTTACTGAACATCAGCTGTTGCCCATTTGCATTAAAGAAAGAAGCCTGCAAGTTCTTCTCATAGAAGCTGTGCTTTGACTTCCGTGTAGCTATTTGTTTGCATAGTGGGTATAACCAGTCTGAGCAATGGTAGAAGGACAGCATCAACCAGGATCAAGTACATGACTGCACATAATTTTACTAATTATATTTATTGTCTGCTGGACATAAAATCCTCTGAAGTGTATCAGCTGCAGTAAAAGCTACTCTAGGCGACTACACTGAACAACTGAAAAAACTGCATACCAATTAACACTTCCAACTGCTGAGTCACTTGGAAATTTCCCCTCTTCTTTCTGCTCACTAACTCTTCAACGGAAAAGGGAACATCAAACTCAGACAGCTGGCAAGGCAAACAGAAGGATCCCCTGAACTGCTGCCATGCTACAGAAATTGAAAACAAGATCTCTTTTGGATTCCCCTCCACCTGGATGTGTGGGAATTGCCTTTTGGTGGTGCCAGATGTCAAGGGTGTGCGAGAGAAGGATGGCAATCAAAGATAGGCAGAGGGAATCTAAGCAAAAATATTTTGGAAGTGTGAATTGTAAAGCTCTCCTTGGAACATTAACTCATCCTCAGTGGACACACACTGAATGAAAATGTGCTTTCAGATGAATCACAATTTATACCTCAATGTATTACAACCAATGTGGGATATTTAGTTTTATTCCAAGAGCCCTAAATGAAACCTTAATCAACTCAACTTAGCCCTCACTTGGAGTGCTATATGAAGTTTCAAGTTTTACATTAAAAATAAGGTTTTACAGATACTTCATACCTCTTCGTAGTGGAAGAGAATGAAATCTACTTTTCTCATGTTCTGCATTAATAAAGCA